AATGCGCGTTGGTTTTCTCTAACAAACGGTTAATTTCATCCGTACTCAAGGGAGACAATCCGCACACATCTGCCGAACGGACATCCAGATTCTTGAAGAGATAATCAGCGAATTGTTTTAAACTGACTTGAGGAGACTTCTTTCTGGCTTTGGGCTCCATCTCGGCCATGGCTATATGATAATGACAGGTCAATTCCCATAGAGTGTCATAGGTCGCAGTCGAGCTATCTTTCATCTTAATCAGCTGATTGGTGGTCGGAAAGAACTCTTGATATGGGACATCGCCCATAGGCAAAGCAGACACTTGCATCATTTCATGCAGTGGTAGTCCAAGTTCCCCGTTCTTGGTAAAGAATGTATTGGTGTCCGGGTTGTAGATCTCGAACAAACAAAGGAAATGACTTACACTGCTCTGCAAGCCATGCATGGTGGCACGAATCGGGACATCCAACCCTAATCAGGCCATGCATGGTGGCACGAATCGGGACATCTAACCCTAATTCTGCTAACTCTCGCCCAAAGCGTTTTAACACATATCGGGTCATCCTGGTCCACCACCATTTGTCCCCAGAATAATGGACCCATCCATAGCATCTAAAAGTCTCTTTGGGTAATCTTTTTCCTGCTGCCGCTAACCGGTTCTTCACGGTGTTGGTTTGCACTATCTTCTCATTCTGAGGTATATTATCTTGTCCTAAGATACCAGGATGAAGCCCCCGCACATGAGCTCTTTCACTGGAACCTGGGGTGGCTTCCTTCCCGATGAAACCACAATGAATATGTTCGTGATTTTCGGTCAACCTCCAGAACATCTCACGTCCAACCGATAAATTCCTGAATTGTAATAGTGAGTGATCCCGGGGGATAAAAGGCAGATATAAGAATGAGGACCCATTCTGGTGCAACCATTGCGCAGGCTGGCAGAAAGCAATCTTCGGATCTTTCACCGAATCACCAAACAAGAAATCCGGCTTCCTTATGCATTGATTCGAGTCTTGCTCCGAGATCAAGGGCGCATCTGTGATTAATCGGCGTAGAACACGACAACTACCTCGCTGGATTAATTCACTATCACTTCCGTTATAATCAGATTTAAACTGGGGAGAGAATTCAATTAACGGGATCCCCTCGTAATAAGAGTGGGTCACGCTACTCCGGCCAGTAATCACATCAGCAGTAAATATGGTGGAAGGAAATCGGACTGATAAAAGAGGCATACACATAAATGGTGTAAGTGTCATTAGAGAAAAGCGGTATATCTTACTCCATAAGATATAGTCGCTATCCTATAACAGGTGTGACGATTTTCTATCCCCCACATGTATAAAGGAGATATGCGGACATTATAACGGCATACCAAAACCTTTTAATACATGTGGAATGATATGAAATCACCCCTGTGTATTATGAAGTGTGTTTTGTCAAAGCAAAACAAACACTTTTAAGCGTCGATCCCCTCAAAGGAGGATACCGGCTCTTCTCGAAGGTACCTCAAAGGATACAAACGAGGATCTGCAAGCAAATACAGGAACATATATATGGAATTGACGAAATACAGTATTTAAATTCGTGAAAAGGTGAAAAAGGTATACCTCCACGTGAGGGTGCAGCAGGGGCAGCCTCCTCGGGGCTCTGAACAGTCGGTCGGATTCCCTTTCCTCGAGCTCTACGCGGCGACATGATGAATATGCGATCTACAGTGAAAGCCGATGGAAAGTTAGGTTTTTTTTTGAACGTAAAATTGAGTAAAATATCAAGGCTTATCTCAGAAATAATGCATGCACAGTCACAGGTTGCCGAAAGTCAAGATTTTGAAGAAAAGAGGGGAAACAAACCTTTCAAATCCAAATGAAATCTCTTCAAATCGAAGCACCACCCAAGTCAGAAACGAAGAGAAGAAGAAGAGGTGAAGAACTGGTCGAAAATCGCTCGAAAATCGCCCAAGAATCGCCTGAAAATCGCAAAAAAGTCGACGTGAAAAAACCCTAAAACCCTAAGTCCCGATTTTTATAGCCTCTGCCTCGCTGAGCGAGACAGAAAACTCTGTCTCGCCGAGCGAGACAGTAAACTTTTCTGTTTTGCACTATGGAACAGTGGAATACTCCAATGGGTACACGAGTCTAAACTGTATTCCCACCCTCAACAGGAAGTTTCTGGAGAATATTAATCTGAATATTCTTAAGGATAACCTGAGGAATTCTCAATGGATATACCAATTCAATGGTAAACGCTGAATTCACAAGAGCAAGTATCAACTTCAATTCAAGATCTCGACAACGGTCAAGCGATAAACGCGACGCCGGGAGAACGTTAGCTATTCTACGAAGAACTGGATAGACTAACAGCAGAAGAGGTTAAACATTGAAGCCATTTACAAGTCCTTTCATACGATCTATTCAGCCAAGCATTGAAGGGATCGTAAGTAAAATCTATCTTATCCAAAGTATCCCATGCTCCTCTATAAAAGAATGAGTCTGGAATACTTTGGAGGGGGTATCTGTAGGCGTCAAAAAATGCTAATAGATATCCCAAGCATAGAGAAGATCACTCAAAAATTCACAAGAAAGGATTTCATACTGTTTTGGAAAAATCAAAACAAGTATGAACTGTCTCGCCAGCGAGACAGTCTTTGCTGTCTCGCCAGCGAGACAGTGTTGAAATAGTCAAAACTACATTTGTAACTGCCCTACACGTGTCCATTAACTGCCAAGGGACGTGGGAAACATCATGGGCGAAAATCACGTGGATAACTGCCAAAATAACGGAGTTTGAAACGTGAGAGAACAGTTACAGCGAGAAACTGCCATTTTCCGAGACAGCATTTACTGTCTCGCTGAGCGAGACAGCAAATTTACTGTCTCGCGGGTCGAGACAGCAAACGCTGTCTCGCCCAGCGAGACAGTAAACACTGTCTCGCCGTACTGACTTCTTCGATTGTTAAGTTTTTGCAGTTACTGACCCTTGAGGCTATAAATACCCCCCTAGGGTCACTTCTGACGAGGATCGAGCATTTGTTAGAGCATTCCAGAGCAGAGAGAGCAGAGATTTGAGTTCTTTTCTTGCAACGCCTTGAAATTAAGCTTCGACTTGATTTTAAGAAGAACGACTATCTTACTTCGATAAGATATCGTTTCAATTTCTACTTCGATAACGAAGTTAGAATCATAAGCCCCCTCTTCACGATCTGTGAATCGGCGGTCCACGAACCAAAGCGTTCCCGGCACAGGCAAAGTCCCACGAAAACGAGAATTGATAGACGATTTTCGTGTTTGTTTCTCAAGAGTTGTAATTTTTTGTTTTGTTGTGTAGAAAAAGTCTTATAAAAAGATTATTCTTTCGAATTTGTTGTAATAGAACAAAGTTATAATGAATTCCACAGCAGCGACTTTTGAACCAAACACTTCTTTATGAAAAGTTTATGTGCATTTTTTGATTTGATAATGAACCTCCTAGATTCTGATTCATTATCATACAAAACCCCAGAACTTTGTCCAGTATTGTCTTAAAGAAATTAGCCTCATGTACTAATAAAGCCTTGGCCATGCTCTCACTCCAATGTAAAACATGTTGGTTTTGAATTGAATGGGACATGAACTCGATGAGATCACGTATTAGTGAATCATCATCTTTACCCTTACAACTCTTATTTTTTGATTGAGATTTGGTATTGGATGTAAAAGCTACCCCACTAGACAACTTCACATTTTGAGACTGGGTGTTAATCTTTTCTACACTTGGTATCTCAGACTCAAAATATGTGTTGGGGGACTCATGATTATCATTTTCACAAAAAATTATTGGTTCCTCAGAAAGATCAAGAGGCCGACTAGAACCAAGTTTCTTACTCACATCTTTGGCGAAATTTCCCCTTGCTTGGTCATCACCAACAATTGTACACAAGTCATCATAGTGAGTGAGAGGCATGTTCAAGTACTCCTTCAACTTTGAGCTATTACACTTATTGTCATGTATAGTAAATTAATGTAAGAAAAAAATGCAACCTAAATATACTTTCCCATAAATAACACAAGATAAATCATCAAAATATCAATCAATACCTTTGTTCACATATCAAATGAATCTGGATCCATGGTAACAATTTTTATCATTGGATCATATCCGACACCATTCATGTTCACGATAGTTCGCATATCAAAAAGCTTACTCTTCAAGCTCTTCATATGGTTCATCACATTTTCTTTGGTGAATTCAGTTCCACATTGCTTGTTGACCTCTTCAGCAGCCACCTTGTATGCATGCATCTTAAAGTTCTTATCAACCTTGAGACCATCTCTTGCCAACTGAGTAATAACAGGGATTAGAACATCATAATGCCTTGCATTCCAATACATGTTAGGCACACCCCTAGTGTTTGGAGGCTTGTCTATAATTGTTGATGTCATTCTTCTTTTAGCAATTGCTTTCTTCTTCATTTTGATTGGTGAGATTGCCTCGACATCAATTTTAGTAGCCCTCTTCGATGAAAGACTCTCTCCAGAGTTGGTACCATTGTTATGTGAGCTAGGGGTTGCATAGAACATTGGGTGGCTATTAAGCATATTCATATATGATGTAGGTTATTGAGTCATATATGAGAAATTATTGTCATAGTGAGAGTAAGATGGATAAGGAGGGGGATGAGAAGAGTAGGGTGCATGAGGGAATGATATGAAGATCATGTTCAAGTTTGAAGGAGGAACTCTAGGGGTTTTAGGGGAAGGAATAGCTTCACAATCATTACTTTTATCAACAAATTAAATCAGCTATACTTTGAAGAATAAAGCTCCCATTACACTAAAGTCACATAATGCAAATATAAAATCAAACCAACATTGTCAAACTTAAGAAATACAATAAGTCCAGAGATCAAACTTAAGAAATACAATAAGTCTAGAGATGCTAATATGTTAATTACAAGCCAATTTCGGTTGTGTCCCCACCATGATATTTCTTACAATAATCTACTCACAAAGCACTTGCAATTTCATCCCTCTTCTATTTCATTCATTCCTTGAATCTCTTTCTTCTCTTTGTATAATATTTTGAGTAAAGTCGACAACATTGTCATCTTCACCCTCATTAGCTATTTCTCCATCATCATCGTCAATAGTAATGTCCTCATTCAATAAGTCATCGCCCGGATCGACTATAGTAATATAGTTATGAAGTATAGTACAAGCCAAAACCACATCAACTTGGGTTGGAAAAGGATAATGTGGCTTTGCAGTGAGAAGTTTGAAACGATTCTTCAACAATCCAAAGGTTGATTCAATTTTAGACCTTAGCGATGAATGTATGAGATTGAATAACTCTCTTTTGTTATTTATTAGCCTACCCTTGTGCTCATTTAAATGGTAACGTACACCACGATAAGGGGAGATGAAGTCAGGCATGGTTGTGTACCCCACATCACACAAATAATATTTGCCTACAATTATAAACAACACATTATAGTAAATACATATATTTTTATAAATTATAATTGAATATTCATTTTAGTGATTAATGATTAATTACCATCGTAGACTCTTAGTCCATGAGGTTGAGGTCTTAAAAGTGCATCTTGTAGTACTCTACAATCATTTGCGGACCCCTCTCATCCAGCTAGAACGTACGAAAATAACTTATTTGGGGTGCATGCAGCTAGAACATTTTGAGTTACACCTTTACGGCCTCTAAAGAGGGCAACAAGTCTAGCGGGAAGCATGATGTCAATGTGGGTTCCATCTATCATACCAATGCAATCCTATATAACCTACGAAAATGACTATTATTTCATAGAATAACAAAGTTCATTTGTTCAATGCGTGTTATGTGAATGAGTTTATTACCTTGAAATAAGGATAGTACAAAGGATTGTTTGCAATCTCTGGCGCCAATTCCTTTGGTGCTTGCTTCAGGAATCGCCCCCTTATACGACCAACTGCTTCTAGGTATTTGTTAAAATATCTAGCAATTGATTATCCTGATCTTATGAAATGTGATCTTACTATTCTATTTTTTGTTTTATGTCCTAATGTATTAAGGAACATGATCAATTGTTCTTGTACTTTAACATCATGTGAATCCTGTAGTAGGCACGTAACTCTCATTATTCTAACAAGATTTTCAAATGCATACATCCTCATTCTAACATAATCTCTACAACTTTGACTATAGCCAGTAAATACACGGGATATGTGGATATTTTTAGACTCTATCTTTTATTTTCCCCGCTCCCTATGGTGATAAGTGATAGATTTTCTTCTAGAACGTTTTCTCATTACACATGTCAACACAGTCACGATGGCGGACATAGTAGCATTACTCGATATCCTCATTAACGTTTTGCCATCAATATCATCCATCTACAATGATTGAAAAGTATATTATTAAACATATGCAAATGCTTAAACTCAAAGAAATTTCTAAATCTTTTAGCTGATATAAAGTTTAGTCAAATTATATAAGTACATCAATAATTATTATTATCGACCATGATATCATATTGCACATGAAATCATAGTGTACCAATATTTTGAGCTAGCCGCCTACATATATACAAAAGTCATCATCAAGTAAAGATACACATGTAAAAAAGTAATAAAAAAATTAAAGATTGTCTGGACATAGAACAAAAAAGGAGTTAGTGCATAACTATCAAGCATAGTTAATAAGACAAAGCTTTGATTCATTCAATCATATAGTTTGATAAACAATAATAAAACAAAATGAAGGAAAGCAGATAATATCAAAATGTAAATTGTTAGTTGGAAGCAATAGATAAACTAGTCCATTTGTAAAAGCTTTTCATAGGGTACGTAACTTGTTTTAAAGACTTATTCAATTTGTTTTGAAGATTTGTGATGATTTTAATGACACACATTGCAGCTCAACAAACAAAGCAAAAGAATCAGCCTATCAACTCATGATTGAAACAATCCTCACAAGAAAAAAAATCACAAAGTGGAGAAAGGTTATACCTTTGCTTTGTTATGGAGCAGATCCGATGGCCTCGAGGTGAAATTTTATAGTGTGAAACCCTAATCAAGAAATCAAGCCTTCAGATCTGAAGAAGAGAATTCAGAGGAAGTCCCAACTACACCCAACTCAGAGAAGGTTGCCTCCAAGAATAGTGACGACATGCATCATGAAAACCCCTTCTTTATAAACCCCAAAAAATCATAAATTTCTTCTTGAAATCAATAGCTAGAGTTCATCATGGAGGTAATCAAGAGGAAGGGACCACTTTACACCTTTTTATGGCCGATTTGAGCAGATTTAACTCTAAATTTTGATGAAACGGCGGTAAGTGGAGGAGGGAAATAGAAAGGCGAAGGGAACGAGAAGATAGGTGGTGATTGTACCGAGAAGATAGGGGTGATTATCACGTGAAGAGAAAAGAGGAGAGCGTTAATGCCGAGGTGGACAAACTGTCAAAAATTTTAGTCCATTTCTGAGCTAAAAGTGAGGATTTGGGTTGTCCATAAAATTTATTGTTTTCTCTGTTCTTTTAGAAAGCTTTTCTTAAAAAAAAAGTGAATCAAATCTATGTTTTGGAATCCTATAATGACCAAAAACTTACTTTTTATTCCAAAAAAGCTATTTTCCTAAAATTTTGACCCAAACAAACAGCCCCTAAATATCTTGTGGTCTCTCCTCACTTTGAAAACTATGCAAATGGAGACACAGCTTAATAGAAGGACATTGCATTATTAATGCCAACAATGTAAGTTGAATTTTGCAAATCATAGCCCCATATTTTGCATAGGCTTTGCATTATTGCTCTTTTGCTGGACTCTTTGCTTCCTCTTTAAATTGCCATGGTCCTGAAAGGCTGAAACAGCTTTGGATCTTGGTGGTATAAGCAGACTCATGTCTCTTTATAGAGTTTTACTTCTTTTTCAGTACATAGTTGTGGGCTTCTGCTTATTATAACAATTATGTCTGTGTCTCTATAAACATGTATATAATTCTCATATTTGAAATAACGTTAATATTATAAAAAATTTTACTTACGTTCCAGCACCATAAGATATCACGTAATTACATGAGTGACCTTGAAGTATGTGCATCTACACGAGTAATCCTGAAATTACTGATTGTAATTACACATGCGATGCTTAAATTTGTCTGCAAGCTAACATTATTATTATTATTATTATTATTATTGCTGATTTCAAGTTCTTGTTGGGTGTCGGTTAGCATTACACTTATGATTAGAGTTTTGATTAGGGTTAAGAGCAGGTTTAGAGTTAAGATTAGAGTTATAGCAATAGTTACTCACAAAAGTTTCATAGTTATAACTCTAACCCAAACTCTAATAGTCAATAATTTTTGCCATAATCTTAACCATAATATTAATGCTAACCTAAGCTAAATCTAACCTTAACTAACATCCAAGCAAAACTTTAAATTAACCGAAAACAAATATTGTTAACTTGCCAATAGATTCTAAAGTCAATTGTGCTATTGCAACCACTAATCATACGTGTGTAAATACCCAAACTTTAAGCCACAAATGTTATTTTTCCATACTTCAGTGCCAAAACACGATTCATTCGGAAAAGGTTTAATGTAAGGAATAAAATGCAAATCACAGGGATTTTTTTGGTAACTTCTGTCATTTCATACTTCTGTCATTTCTACAAATAACATGGATTTTCTTGGTAAGTTAAGTGGACCCCAACATTAATTTGTCATTTCTACAAATCATAGGGATTTTTTTGAACTTAAGGGGCTGTTTGTTTCACCCATTTTATGGAAAAGGAATGGTATTTGGATCTAACAGTGTCAAAATCGTAATTAAAGGATTCCAAATGAATCCTAATCTTGAGTTTGGTTCAAATTTTTTTTACAGATTTCAAAATCTGTAAATAAGTTAAAACAGTGGTTTTTTATGGATTCTGAAATCCTCTCTGTTTGAGTGGATTTGGGTAAAAAATCTGACATCTCCTTTACCTCCTTCTTATTCTGATTCCACCGCTTCGAAAACCCTAGATCTGTGGTGTCCCCGTTGTTCTTCTCCCGCCTCATCTCACTCTTCTTCATGCCTCTTCTCCCGCGGCTCTTCGATTTCTTTTTCGAAGTTGAGGCTGGCAATTGTGACGACGGTTTCTCATGGCGGAATCGGATTCTCCCTCTAATCTTATCCTGTCTCTTCACAATCGTCGACGGTCCTCTCCTCGGATCGTTCTTCGATTAGTTTTCCAACTTTTGTTTTGCAGTGGTGTTGGTGGATTCATTGGCTTTGGTTGTTGGTGATCCCTTCTCGAACTTGTGGGTTTCGGTGGGTTTGTTGGCTTCGTGGTGTCCGTCGGCTTCGGTGGGTTTATTGCTTGGATTTCAGTAATTTCCCCTGGGTAGCTGAAGGTATAAAATGTTTCCCCCTTTTTTAAGATTCATTTCTTCGTGCTTGATGTGATGAAAGGAACCTGGTTAGTAGAATGTGTTGTTTTTAATAATTCATTAAGTGTATAATCTCTTAACAACAAGGTTTTGTTATTAGTTGATTACTAAATTTTAGTTCCCTAGAATAATTGAGGAGTACGACCTTCAAATGAAACCCTTGGATTGAATCCTTAATCATATTTGTTTGATCAGCGTGTGAACTTAAATTCGACATTAGTTAAAATAAATTTTTGTATAATTAGATATATTGTTTCAAGAAATTAATATTTGTATTAAATATTTAATTAATTTTAAACTTTAATAAGTAGACATATTAAGTTATAAATGTATGCTAATTTTACAACGGATGTAGATGGATATGGTAGATGAAGAAGAATTAAAGAGGATGTGTGCTAATACAGCTGTTTCCACCGTGATCACATTAGTAACTTGTATTTTAAGAATGCGTGCTAAGCGCAAGATAATTTCAACTTGTACGAAGGAAGAAAAGATTAAGAAAATATATTGCAGAGAAACTCACTTCAGACGCGTATTGGAAGGCTATAGTGATAGCTATCAGTCTTATATTAGAATGAGACCGATGGTCTTTTTTAAACTTGCTGAAGTAATGAAAGCAAACGGTTTATTAAAGGATACAAGACACGTTCAAGTTGAAGAACAGCTGGCTATGTTCCTACGTATTGTGGGTCATAAAACTAAAAATAGAATAATAAGGACTGAGTTCATAAGATCAGGAGAAACAATTAGCAGGTATTTTAATAAAGTCCTACAAGCAATGAATGAGTTACGTGATCGCTACATAAAGCAAGCTCCAAATAAAGTTTCTGTGGAGATTGTAAACAACTCAAATTATTTTCCTTACTTTAAGGTAAATTTAATACATACATCTTAACTTCTCTTATAAAAAAATAACCTTTTTATTAAACGTTGTATACTTTATTGTTTTTTATAGGACTGCATTGGTTTGATAGATGACACACACATCGACGCAGTGTTACCTAGCGATCTAGTTACACGGTTTAGAGGGCGAAAAAGGGTGACACAAAATATCTTAGCAGCATGCACCCCCAATAAACTTTTTACCTATATCTTAGCTGGGTGGGAGAGAGCAGTAAATGACTATAGGATATTACAAGATGCTCTGTCGAGACCACAATCTTACGGGCTCTGAGTTTATGATGGTATTCATTCTCACTTATGCACATTTTGAATAATAAATTAAATACTTGTAAATAATTAAGATTTTAAAATACTATCTAATTAATGTAGGTAAATATTACCTATGTAACACTGGATATACCATAATGTCAGGCTTCATATCCCTATATCACGGTGTACGATATCATTTAAAAGAGCACACTGGTAGGACACCAAAGAATATGAAAGAGTTGTTCAATTTAAGGCATTCCTCTTTAAGATCAAAAATTAAATGCACATTTGGTATATTGAAGAACTAGTTTAAAATATTATCGGTAAAGCCAAATTATCCATTTCCCACTCAAGTGGACATTATACTAGCGTGTATCGTGTTACACAATTTTATTGCTATAGAAGATCCAGATGATGATATTTTAAATGAAAATGTAGAAATTAATGAAGATAATGGGGGAAGTGACAAATGAAGATGACTCAAGTGTGGTGGATTATACTCAAACTAGGACACGGAGAGAGGATCGAGATGAAAGAAATGAATGGAAGGAGCTACGAGATCAAATTGCTTGGGCGATGTGGGTGGATTATTATGCAAAGTATAATGGTGGTAATGTTTGGTGGAAAATTTGCAATAAGAAAATGAAATAATTCTATTTGATTTTTATTCTCTCAATCTCGATTACAATTTGAATTTCCCGATTATAAAAGAGAAGAGAATTGATGCAAATCCTCCCCTTTGTTTAAAACTGGGTTCTTCACGGTGGCGATGAGATCTCCCCTTTGTTTAAAACTGGGTTCTTCACGG